CAATGGATTATTATGAAATGTATTGTATGAACCCGCGGGGTGATGGTCACGTGTTGGTAAACAATGGCAGACTGAGCATGAATGGTGTGGGAGACTGGCTTTGTGTGCGCGGTGACGATCAGATGGGTACCGGACGGTCGCCGAAACACGAGTTTTTTCACGAAACTCGAGGCCAAATTTTTCCAAAAAAACTCGCCGAAGGTCGAATTTCGCGAAAGTCGAGGCTGCCGAATCTCGGGGGTCCACCATACATAGTATTTATAGGTCCCAGCAATGTTTTGGATACACGGGAGTATATAATAATAATAATAATAATAATAATAATAATAAAAATAAGTTCCCTTGAAGCATGATGTAAGAGTGTGTCACTCATCTTATCTTATCTTATCACTCCACTGCTGACAATGGTGACATTTGATGAGTGTCTGCTGACAGTGGTGACATTTGATGAGTGTCATCTTATCACTCCACTAATGACAGTGGTGACATTTCATGAGCCTTTGCTTTATTTGTTTTCACTGTTACACATAAACATGTCTGTCTGTCTAGCTATAGCTCTCTACCTATCTGTCTAGCTCTCTGTATCTGTCTAGCTCTCTGTCTGTCTAGCTGTCTGTCTCTGTCATTCTGTCTGCTTGTCTCTCGTCTCAAGAGTTGCTCATGAACCAACTGGTATTACACACGATCACTATCTACAAGCACAGTATAGCACTTCGTCAGATTTTTTGGGTTATCCTAGGTAATTTACACTATGTATAATTGTATTTATGTATGTGTTCATGTGAGATAGAGACAAAGAGATAGACAGAAATAGATACAGACAGACAGATGGAGATAGAGACAGCCAATCAGCCAGCCAGCCTGCCGAAATTACATATTCCAGAATTGTATCTTTTTACTTAGGGCATAGGTTATAGTACATTCTGGCAGGATGCCACTTTCCTCTTAAAATGGGAGTGTTAATACGACATGACATCAGTGAATCCTTAGTGTTTGCTGCGCTGTTTGCTCTAGCTGGCCCTCAATTGAACTCGTACTCCCACAAGGTACTACTTAATCCCAGATTTTTTTAATACTGCACACACTGAGGATTAAAACCCATTCTGTACTGACCAGGCATCTTAGGCCAATTGTGCCAAATTTGGAGGTAGGAAAAATAAAACGTAGATCTACATTTGGAGCGCTTAGGGTAAGAACATAGATCTACGTTTGGACTGTTAAGGGGTTAAAAGCTGCAGGTTGGAACCTTAGTGAGTTGCTAACTAGTCTGTCCAATAGGTCACTGCAAATTTTGTAAATGTTGTTTCATCCCTTTATTAATGTTCCATTCGTACATAGGTTTTTTAGTGCTACCAACTAGTAGTAAAGGTATTGATCCTCATTAATATATTAATTGCAGAGATAATCTAGTTGTTGATTTATAAAAATGTTTTCATATGCTTACTCTTCATTTAGGTATACCAAAGTGAAATTTAGCTAATGTGATTCCTTCCTCTGTAATGGGAGATACAGAGGCCCCTGACTTGCACTGCTCTGAGTTGTGACGTTTTACACTTATAACACTGGCACATTGTAGCTAATTAACCCCTTGAGGGTCCAGACCCCCAGTCTGAAAATTCCCCACAGGGTCCAAGAATTTAAAAAAAAAATTATAATGAAATGGTAGAGAATCTTTTTCTGAAGGTAATAAAACAAAAAGTAGGAAATTTGATAAAAAATTTATGAAATTACGCTCTCATGAATTTTGCTGTGTCAGCGATATTTACGCATCGGCGATTTTGCCTACCTTGAGTCCTATTTTCAGCCAATTACATTGTTCTATTAGACCATATTCTTAGCTATTTTGCTAGTATATGTTCCATTTTATCTATTGAGCAAAGGAAATTGCCCAGTCAACTATTTCAACTACCCACTAAAGTGATCAGAACTTGGTAATTTGGCCATTTTCACACAAAGTTCAAAATATTCCAGTTTCAAAATAGGGTCCAGAATAAACAGTGCAGGCATTCCTGACACTAAAATAACATTTCCTCTCTTTATTAGTTATATTTCCAGGCTTTACAGATGAATTCCAGTTTGATTTTCTATTCACACCATAAAATAGAAGTTTTAGTGCTATGCAACATTGTAATAATTGTATAAATAATATGAGTGCATTCGTGAACACACATTAGACCCACCAGCTGATGTGTATTGGACTCATGATGTGATATGTTTACTTTTGAACATTGGGAAAAATCAAACGTGTCTGCTACTTTGAGCTCAATTTCAACCTAATTTTAGTAATAAAAGCAACCAAAATTATTCTATTTCTGTAATATATCTTTCATTCTATCAAATGAGACCAAGAAACTGTGAAAACGACCATAAAACCATATGAAAATACACCGCAAAGTCGCTGTTTTAGTCTGAAAAAACAGTCACAGTTTTTTTCTCATTATGCACTGCATGCTGCAAGATTTATTTTAGATGGTGCACACTTACCACATAGATGCATTCTCTCACATCGAGGCCCAAATTCACCGCTCACAGCTTATCTGAGTGAGTTGAGTTCGTGATGTAGTACTACAGCACAGACCCTGGCTGCAAAGCTGTAGAACTATGGCACAGACCCTCAAGGGGTTAGCTACTTACAGACATTTGAAGCATTAAAAAATAATCCAAGATAAGCACTGCAAATAGGAAATCATGCAAAAAATTCTTAGATTTTTTGTAGGTGGGGCACTAAGAGCATATTATTATTATTTTTTATTATCACACTGGCTGTTGCGGCCCCTGCCAAACTAGCGGTTAAATAGTTAACCTGCCGGCCGGCAGTACCACTGGGTGCGTCATCAAACCCAATGTGGGGGCTGCTGAGCCGGCCTTAGAGCAGTAAGAGCCTGAGTGCCTCACGGTACACACCTAAGCAGTAGGTACCTGACCACCGAAGGGTACACGTCTACTGGCTTTAGTAACAGTATGTACCAGAGCGCCTCGCTGTACACACCTAAGCAGTAGGTACCTGACCACCGAAGGGTACACGTCTACTGGCTTTAGTAACAGTATGTACCAGAGCGCCTCGCTGTACACACCTAAGCAGTAGGTACCTGACCACCGAAGGGTACACGTCTACTGGCTTTAGAAATATTATGTACCTGAGCGCCTCGCTGTACACACCTAAGCAGTAGGTACCTGACCACCGAAGGGTACACGTCTACTGGCTTCAACATTAAGTACCTGAACTCCTCAGGGTACACGTCTATGCAGTAGGTACCTGACCACCGAATCGTACCTATCTACTGGCGTTAGAAGAACCGCTCACCGCAGCTCACTGAGTCTGTTGGCCTCAGTTACTTGACGGCCGCATTCAGTGAGCTTGCAGCATGGTGTTCGGCTAGCGGTGTGTCAACCGCCTTTGGAGAGGATTTACTGGACTACCGGTGATGTCTGTGGACTCACCGTCTACGTTGATCAACTGCGGGCCGAAGTCGTCAGATGCTGTTTAGTGGGACATTACATGAAGAAAAGGTTGGAGTGTTACACTGAACTGGGCCAGGACCGTAGTGTGACACTGAGGGACGTACGATGGAGTGGAACACTGAGATATGCACAGGACCGTAGTGGAACACTGAGATGAAAAGGGTGTCGTGGGACACTGAAGATGGCCTGGTTGTAGTGTACACTGAACAGTGTCGTGTGACTGACTTCGTGTCGTGAGAGGCAGTTGATTGTAATTTATTATTATACAAATGTTATTTATAATTTATTATTTTAGCATAGATATATATATATATAGTGACACAGTAGTGTCAAGAATTGTACCCTGTGTAGGGTTATTAATTATATTTTAGTAAAATGCTGATTATAATTTATTATAGTAACATGTACATATTATTATTATATCATAGTTCAAATACCTCTAGACCAAAGATAGTTGATTTTTATATATTAAAGATTAATTTATATTAATGTGTGTATTTATGTATCCCGAACTCTTTATTACAAAAGAAGTAAATCTTAATACCATCGTCTTTTAAAAATTACTTTTTTTGTAATACTGGCCGATTCCCACCAAGGCAGGGTGGGCCGAAAAAGAAAAACTTTCACCATCATTCACTCCATCACTCTTGCCAGAAGGGTGCTTTACACTACAATTTTTAAACTGCAACATTAACACCCCTCCTTCAGAGTGCAGGCACTGTACTTCCCATCTCCAGGACTCAAGTCCGGCCTGCCGGTTTCCCTGAACCCCTTCATAAATGTTACTTTGCTCACACTCCAACAGCACGTCAAGTATTAAAAACCATTTGTCTCCATTCACTCCTATCAAACATGCTCACGCATGCCTGCTGGAAGTCCAAGCCCCTCACACACAAAACCTCCTTTACCCCCTCCCTCCAACCTTTCCTAGGCCGACCCCTACCCCGCCTTCCTTCCACTACAGACTGATACACTCTTGAAGTTATTCTGTTTCGCTCCATTCTCTCCATATGTCCGAACCACCTCAACAACCCTTCCTCAGCCCTCTGGACAACAGTTTTGGTAATCCCACACCTCCTCCTAACTTCCAAACTACGAATTCTCTACGAATTCTAAGAGCATATGCTCTCTATAACAGCAAATAAGTAAATACACATAGCATATAGTATTTATTTGAGGAATTGTAGGCTAAGTACTAATACTTTCACCGTGCATAGACTCCTTTAGTGATAGTGAAACTGGCTGTCCTTTGTTGTTTTATAATGATCCTGTATGTCTTCTACATGCTGCTCTCGTCTGATGTGCGGCACTGAGTGACCCTTATGGGTTAGCACTTTTTGTGATTATAATTAATTTGCTTCGCGATTAACTAGAAATTCAAGGGTTTATGTCCTATGCACTAAACCCTTCCAGGCTGACTAACAAATACTGTACTAAAGTGAAGCTCATTTGCTCATGTTAAGATTAATATGAATTTTTTTTCTTTATTTTTTTTTTGTTTCCAACCCTTATTAATTATATTATTTTCAATATTGCAGAGACAGAGGAAACTTTGATGACCCAACAACTAGGTTCTATACAGCCTGTGTTGTGGAAGCATTTGACTACTTACATTCTCAAGGAATCATTTACCGTGATCTCAAACCAGAGAATCTGCTTCTTGATCTCAAAGGATATGTTAAGCTTGTAGATTTTGGATTTGCAAAGAGATTACAGGTTAGTGATGTCATTAATATCTAAAAAATTAACTGTTCAGTCTTGTAATTTCTTTTAAATTTGCTGCAGTATTTTTTTTTTATCCCTTCACTGTACATTCAAGGAAGTCATTATATTATTAAGAAAATGGTTGCATTTAAATGGTTTGCAGAATTATACAATACTTAACAAATTAATGGGGGACTGGAGTGAGTAGCTGGTTATGGGATTTGTGGTAGATAGAAATGAAATTGTTTTACCATAATTGTAACAATAATAGAAATTATGTAACCAATAGACTTTATGTTTGTTGCTCACAACTCAGCTGAGCCAATGGATTTTGATCACCTCTTTCTGAAATTTATTACATTGAGGTTTAATGTACAGCACCTTTATGCAGGCCTTTTTTTTATGAGTAACCTGCATTGTTCAATCTCTGACTCTTAGGGTCTAACCCCCCAATCTGAAACTTACTCTTAAGGTTAAAAATAAAATATAAAAAAAAAAAATATTTTTTTCTTATGAAATGGTAGAGACTTTTTCTGAAGGTAATGACACCAAAGGTGCAAAATTTAATAGAAGACTTATGGAATTATGCTAGCGCAAAATTAACAGTCTCAGCACCAGTGATTTCACCCACTTTGAGTCCTATTTTAGGCTAACTCCATTGTCCCAGTCAACCAAACTCTTACCTATTTTGCTAGTATGCCTTCCATTCTGTCAATTGAGCACAAGGAACCACCCATTCAACTATTTCAACTACCCAATAAAGTGATCAGAATTTGGTAATTTGGCCAATTTCCCACAAAATTAAAAAAATCCAATTTAAAAATCGAGTACAGGTACCATCCGACTTATGACCAAGCTTGGTTCCGACCAACCGGTCGTAAGTCAAAATGGACGTAAGTCGAACCTTTGAAAATTGCCGACATACTGGGTAAGGCATAATGTCAAGCCTTTCCTATATAAACTACCTACATAGTACTGTAATGTAATGTACAATCGTTATTTCATTCTGTTTACCATAATTTACTTCTATTGTTATATTTTAATTATTTATGTACTGTACATGTGTACTATAATGTATACATGGTAGTGAACTGTATTGTAAATTTTACATCACATACAGTATCATATGTTACTGTTATCTTTATGTATTGTCGACACAGTGGAATGGGAGAATACCACTGGTAGTGTCATCCTGCCAGAATGTAGTATAACCTATACCCTAAGTAAAGAGAAACAACTCTGGAACATGTGTAATACGTATCCAGCTGGGTGGGTGGGTGGGTGGTTGGCTGTCTGAATGTGGCTGTCTCTCTCTCTGTATCTCTATCTCTCTCTCACACACAGGTACACGTAAGTGAAGTTATCATACATAGTATAAATTACCTAGGATAACCCAAAAAAATCCAGACAAAGTGCTGTACAGTGGATCTGTGCTCCAGTGCCCTAAATTAATAATATTAATAATAATTATTATTATTATTACAATAATACATATGTACTAATATTAATAATAATAATATTATTATTAAACTATAATATAAACTATAATGCAATAATAATGTCCACTCATTACTTACCTTAAAATATCTGTAGTCATAATGTAGAGTGAGAGGTGAGTAAACAAGATTAAATGAATAAACGAGAGAGAGAATGAGTGTAGAAGGTTCATGAGTTATGTAAACAAACGTTGTTGTTGTTGTTGTCACCAGCCCAGACACGAATGGTTTTTGTTCACTCTGTCAAGCCGACCAGAAAAACATCTCATATTTGTTAATTTATATGTTTATATATTAGGTAGCATGTTTATTATATAATTTTGAAAAAAAAATCATAGATGGATTAAGCAAAATGTCTATATTAACGTTTTATACACATTTAATGCGCCTCAGTGATTATTATTGTGTTATTATCATTATTAATATGGCATCTTCAAGACCAATTACACTCTTAATGAGTGGCTCTGAGACAGACAAGCAGACAGAAAGACAGACACACAGGTAGACAGAAAGACAGACACACAGGTAGACAGAAAGACAGACACACAGGTAGACAGAAAGACACACACAGGTAGACAGAAAGACACACACAGGTAGACAGACAGACACACACAGGTAGACATAAAGACAGACACACAAGTAGACAGAAAGACAGACACACAGGTAGACAGACACAGGTAGATATAAAGATAGACACACAGGTAGACATAAAGACAGACACACAGGTAGACAGACAGATAAACAGATAGACAGACACAGATATACAGGCAGACAGATACAGACAGGTTTATGTGCAACAGTGAAAACAAATAGAGAGTTTGAGAGTAAGACCCTTTCTTGCCACAATCTCCAGTGCAAGATTCAGACTTCATCTTAGGGGCCATGGTGAAATTTACTGTCCAGTTAGTACAGTTAGTGCAGTATGATGCTGCTGATAGGGCAGTGTTACTCAAACTGATGCTGCCTGCATGATGCATTGCCGCCACGAGTATTGTCAAATATTGTACAGCGGTGTACATCAGCTGGCCCAGCCCAGCTGCCAGATGCACCGTTGTAAGTCGAGTGGACGTATGTCAAGCAGGTCGTACGTCAGATGGTAGGTGTATTTTGTATTATTCCAGTGTTTTAGTGCTTGTAACTGCTAAATAAGCCACTATGGGCCCCCAAAAAGCTTCTAGTGCTAAAAAGGGTGAGAAATAATCTCAAAATACTATTGTACCACGGTCAGCTGCTGCTGCAACACCGTCAGCTGCTGCTGCAACACCATCACCTGCTGCTGCACTACTGTCAGCTGTTGCTGCACCACCATCAGCTGCTGCTGTGCCACATTCAGCTGTACTACTCGAAGATGTGGAGAGACTATTGTTGGTGTGGCTTATCGAGAATACCGAGAAACAGTTAACCCCAGAGGGTTAGCCACCCAGGATAACCCAAGAAAGTCAGTGCATCATCGAGGACTGTCTAACTTTTTTCCTTTGGGGTCCTTAATCTTGTCCCCCAGGATGCGACCCACAGCAGTCAACTAACACCAGGTGAACAGGAAAAAATGCCTGGAACTAGTACTCATATTGGTGAATTTAAGGCCAGCAAAGGTTGTTTAGAGAGATTTAAGAATCGTAGTGGCATACACAGTGTGATAAGGCACGGCAAAGCTGAAAAATTCCAACCCCAACAAATGTTCAATTGTGACGAAACAGGCCTGTTCTGGAAGAAAATGCCAAACAGGACCTACATTACTCAGAAGGAAAAGGCATTCCCAAGACACAAGCCTATGAAAGACAGGCAAACTTTCTTGTTTTGTTGTAATGCTAGTGGGGATTGCAAAGTGAAGCCTTTACTCATGTGTCACTGTGAAAATCCCAGAATGTTCAAGAAAAACAGTGTCTCATCACTATCTCATCTCATCTCTTCAGTAAAGGTAAGGATCATTTTGGTATTTAATTATGTATGTATTGTGCATGTCTAATTGTTTTCTGTGTAGGGAAATGTATATTTCATGTAGAAAAAAATTATTTTTTTAATACTTTTGGCTGTCTGGAACGGATTAATTGGATTTCCATTATTTCTTATGGGGAAAATTAATTCGACCAACAGCAAATTCGACTAATGGCTAGCTCTCTGGAACGGATTAATGCCGTTGGTTGAAGGTCCACTGTATTGGCAAAAATCAAATATTTCCGCTACTCTGAGCTCAATTTCAAGCTACTTCCATTCAACTAAATGATATCAAGAAACTGAGAAAAAAAAAATCTGAAAATATACTGGAAAGTTGCTATTTTAACCTTTTCAATGTTGGTGCCATAGTATTACGCCAAAATTCTAGCTACTTCAAATCTAGCGAGAGAAAGCTGGTAGACCTACAAGTGAGGGAATGGGTGTGCGTGGTCAGTTTGCGCAGTATAAAAAAACAGTCCTGCAGCATGTAGTGCATAATGAGGAAAAAAAAACTCCAACTGTGTTTTTGGTTTAAAATGCCAAGTTTGAGGTGTACAGTGGACCCCCGCCTTACGAACGCATTGCCTTACGTTAAATCCGCCATACGAAGCATTTGAACGCAAAAATTTTGCCTTGCCTCACGATAAAAAACTCGCCTTACGTGATTAGTCCGGGACGCATCCCACGTGTGGCCTCAGCTGCCCTGTGGGTGCCAGTGTTTACAAGCCAGCCAGTGCAGTCGCATCCATGCATACATTCGGTAAATTTCACCTTATCCCAGTGTTTTTTGTGTTTGTAACTGCAAAATAAGTCACCATGGACCCCAAGAAAGCTAGTGCCAACCCTGTGGTAAAAAGGGTGAGAATTAGTATGGAAATTAAGAAAGATTTTGAAGGGTTTGGGGCTAACCCTGAGAAGCCTATGCCAGTTGTGGAATCCATTGTGCCTACTTCAAAGATTAAGGAAATGTGTGCAAAGTGGGTTGAAGTGCAAACCTTTATGGATGAAAATCACCCTAACACAGCTATTGCAAGCCGTGCTGATGACTATTACAATGACAATGTTGTGGCCCATTTTAGGCAGATTTTAAAGGAACGGGAGGTACAGACCTCTATGGACAGATTTGTTGTGTGATAGAGGTCCAGTGACTCTCAAGTTGGTCCTAGTGGCATTAAAAGAAGAAGGGAAGTAACCCCAGAAAAGGACTTGCTACCTCAAGTCCTAATGGAAGGGGATTTCCCTTCTAAACAATAACAACTATCACACTCTTCCCTCCTTCCATCCCAGCAATCATCACCAGATCTTCAATAAAGGTAAGTGTCATGTATTCTATTCTTAGTAGAGTTGTAATTGTGCATGTCTTCTTCAGTTTGTGTGTATTAAAATTAATATTTCATGTGGTAAAATTTTTTTTTTTCATACTTTGGGGTGTCTTGCACAGATTAATTTGATTTCCATTATTTCTTATGGGGATAATTAATTCGCCTTACGATAATTTCAGCTTATGATGAGCTCTCAGGAACAGATTAATATCGTAAGGCAGGGGTCCACTGTATTTTCATATGGTAGTTATGGTTGTAC